TAAGGAGCAGGTGGACGGTATACAATAACAAACAGAACAGGCTTTTGAGTTTTCCAGTTTGGGTGTGAGAGACTCAGGGTGAGACTTTCAAATGAGTTATAACTATGTTTAGGTCTAGGGTTGATTAATAGGCTTGAGTCAAAGATTGCTGCCACGCCACCACCTCAGCCTGTGTTTCGAGGGATGTGACAGTTACTGTGACTAGGTGGAGTGGATTCATTTAGGCTGACATATTCTTGCTGCTGTAACCATGTTTCAGTAAGACACAATAAGTCAATGTGATGTTCACTTATCAAATCATTCACTAACAGAGATTTAGATGAGAGAGATCTGATATTTAATAGTCCACATTTGATTGTCCTATTACTTTTTACTATAGTTGGTTCTTGATTTATATAATTTAGATGGGTGGGGGGCAGACACAGTCTCTATGGGGTACTGGGAGCGTTGGGTGGGTAGCAGCTGCAAGGAGACAGCAGAGAGGCGTGTAAGACTGCGACCCTGCATCCTGGACTCAACTCTGGGTTGTCATAATTTAGGTTGTAAAACAAACTCGTCCAGATTTCTAGATAAGAGAGCCGCACCACCCAAAGTGGGATGGATGCCATCTCTACTAATCAGACCAGGTTTTTCCCAAAATGTTTTCCAGTTGTCTATGAAGCCCACATTATTTTCTGGGCACCACCTAGACAGCCAACGGTTGAATGACGACATGCGGCTAAACATGTCATCACTGGTCACATTGGGTAGGGGTCCAGAGAAAACTACGGAGTCCGACATTGTTTTAGTGAAGTTACACACTGACTCAACACTTCTCTCCTCTACATTTATCGTCTGCCTCTGTTATGGGTCTGCTTCTGAATCCACATGGGTTGGATCAAAAAAGGCAGCCACTATGTTTGACACACAGTAAAGTGCAGAACATTTCGTTGATATATTTGCTTTCCTGCTTACTGAGCTTTTTAATTTTTCCCTTTCTATCACAAGATAAAATCATTACCCCAAAATTTGCGCTACAGCAAATGTACCATGCTAAATCACTTATTAAAAATACTGCAAGAACAAATAAGGTCAATTGAATGTGCTTTAGTGGAGCTACACCCATAATGACTTGTGTATCCTGAAATACTTTGCTTTAGTTAATCAGTATCAAAAGCAGTTTCAGTGAAAGACCTTCTTTCATTGCTCAGGCTGAAGCTGCTGGCCTTGGACGGTGTGCAAGTGTGTCCATGCGTACATACATGACTTTTGGGTAGACTGTGACAGCTCAGTGATTAAAACCTACCATGAGAGGGGAGCAGGTATCAAAATTGGTGGGGATGGGGGGGTCTCAAGTAGCAGCTGCTGTCAATCTTAATCTCCTCCAGTAAGTGTGTGTGTGCATGTGAATGCACCTGTATATGCTTCTGTTTGTCACACATGCACACAGTCCTGTGAGCATGTACAGTATGTGCGTTTGCTCTTTCATGTGAGATTTCTACACATTCCATCAACAAACAGCGACTTCTGGCCTCAAAACAAGTCCGTGTCTGTCTGCTCAACTGTCAGAGGGGCGGCACTCAGAAAACAGGTAAACATAGTTGAGAGATGTATGCTGCCTTAGTACTGCACACACTGTCTGCGTACTGTACAGCATCATTTCTTCACAGTGCGCTTTGAAAAGCCAGGATGATGAA